TTTATGTAATAATATACATAGAATATAATTGTTGATTGGACGTGATAACATCAAATCTTATTTTAATTTATTTATTGTAAGTAATTATAAATTCCAATAAATAATAAATATTTTTTAAAATATATTTTTAAAAAAAACAATACAGGGGGCAAAAAACTGCTTCCATCTTTCTAACCGCTTCATATCAATTTATTAGTTATAAATAATTACATTATAATAAAAAGTATGATACAAATTACCATTTTGGACAGAAAATTTTCCACAAAACATAATCGGCCTTCATAATAAACAGTACCATATAATATATTATATAAATATTATTTATATTTATAAAGTGATTCAAAAACCATAAATAAACTGTTTTTCAAAAGTCGGTACTGAGGTGTCCCGATTTTTTGCATTTATTTTGTTTATTATTTTTGGGAATCGTTTTTTTGTAATAAATATCGCTTATTTTTTTCCAAATAAAAAAGAGAAAAACGGTCTTCAAAAAATATTTTTTTACTTGAAGAATTTTTAAGCATTAAAAAATTCCATATAAAATTCGAAATAACGGGATTTTTGTTTTTGAAATACACGTGAATGATCCCAAAAGTGCATTTTAGTACAAAAGCAAATAAACTTAATTTCATTTTTTTCATTATCAAACATTTTAATAATTAATGAAATATTCACAAAACAAAAGCTTAGTTCGAAGATTAGTATGCTTAGTAGTGTTGTCACAATAACAATAAAAATAACAAAATGATTTGATAACTTATCTTTGTTGGGTTTTATAAAGTCGACATTCTTTTTGAGCATTTCAGTGAGAACATCTTTTTTAAAATATCCAATAACAAAACAATATTGTTATTTTGTATTATTTTTCTAGTGTTGCCCTTTGACAATTTTGACTTATGCCTGTCAAAATTATCAAACATTTGCTGTAATTTTTGGTGTTTTTGGAACTCTTTATTTCATTATTTTTTATTCAGAGAAGATAACCACAGTTTGTTTTAAATTTCAGTTAAATTTTAACGAGAGTAATATTCAGTTAAAACTCGACACGAACAACACCATCCAAATTCACTTAAACGTTCATTGTTGTGCTTTTATGCCAACAATGCTGTGTATATGTTGCAAAGTTTCGAGTTATGGTGAAATCAAATAACGGGATCGGGTTTTTTGGAAAAAGATGGCTAATATTCCAACGTTTTCCCGAATTTGTACGAAAATAATTGAACGGGATTGGTATTTTTTTCAAAATAAAGTCGGTACTTTCGATTTTTTGTTTTTTGTTTTTTTAGGAAAAAACGAAAATAAAAAACGGGACTTTAGGAAGTTCTAAAAATATGACAGTACCGACTTTTGAAAAACAGTTTACATAATAAATTGTACCATAATAAATTGACATTTTCAAAGAAACACCATTTGTCAATCTTTTTATTTGATTATTAAATCGAGTGGTTTCACATATTAATTACACCACAACAATGATACTTTTATGGTTAACTATCATAAATGGTCTGCTAACTTTGTTAATATAACTTAAAAATTCTCTTAAAAAGAAATCTCTGCCGAATTCCACATTTCTTGTTTTTTTTAAATAAGTATAAATGGTTTGAAAGTGAAAAATTTTAAAAATAAAACAAAAAAAAATTAATTCGAAATAAAAGCAATTGATTATAATTAAAAAACTAAATGTATTATTTATTTATTTCATCGTTAATTAAAAATCAGACTTTAAATGTACATTTAATTTTAGATTTGCATTTAACTTGTTCTTGTCACTTTAAACAGGGCTCTCAAAATTTCAAACCCCCGTCCCCACGTGGCAAGATTTGAGAACTGGATTACATTTAAATATAAATAAACAACCCAAAGACAAAATAATTTTACTTGTACTTTAAATTATTTTTAATTCAAAAAACACACAAAAACCAAAATAATGACAAAAATAAGATAAAATTACAACACAAAAGAAAAAACAAAACCAAAAAATCTAAAAGCATTTTTTCACAATAATTACCAAATCCACTATTAACTAAATAATATTTGAAACAAATAAAACTTATTATTTTATGATAGTTATTAATATAATTATTATTTTATTAAGTTAAAACTATACAGACACAAAAAATTCTTTAACCGTTAAACTACAAAGCTCAAAATTAGTCTATTAATCGGTTTTTTCTTATATACAACCATTACCATTTACTCTTTCATCTATTATTATCATTCTTTCTTTGTTGGTTTGTTCGGATGATGGATATTCTGTAGCAGCTTTTAAGATAGAAAACCCAGACTCACAAAGAGCGGATGTGGGCGATATACTCCTCAAATAAATCAACATTTCTTTCAATTTTAGACAGTCTTTTAAATCATCCTTATAATCATCCATATCCAAATAAACATGTTCTGACCACAAGTTGAATTTATTGCTCTGTTGTTCCGCGATTTTTATGTCAATGAGTTTATGTCTTTTTTCGGTCAACATAGGATCGTTTCTTATTTTTTTCAATTTCACTTTGAAACTCAATAAATTCAGAATTTGGATTTTTTCCCTACCACATATTCATCAAATTCAGAAGCAAAATTACACATGTCATCCAAAGGTTCTTCTTCTCTTTCTTCTTTGCCAAGAAATGGGTCGAAAACTTGATCATTTGAATCTCCAATTTTTGAACAACTTTTACAAACAGATGAAAATCTTACTCTAAGTGAATTTCTTAAAGTTCTGACAATTTTCACCATAAATTGTATATCTCTTGGGTGCGCGTTTGAAGCCTCTAACCTCGGGAGAAGACTAAATAGATTACTTTCAATTTCAATCCGAATTTTTAACAAATTATCAATAAATACATTAACTTCTTTAAAACACCTGAAAATTGGCGAATTTTTTCTTTGAAATTTTTTACATAAATTTTCAATTTGACCGAGTGTATCAAGTAAAAACGCGATTTTACCAATTACTTCATCATTGTACAGACACTCGACACAATCTTTAACTGTCATTCCTTCACTTATTTTTTCATTTGGGTTACAAAGTGAATGATTATTCAAAAAACGAATTATATCCCATTTATGTACGTAAATCCATTCAAATACATTTTCCATTGAAGTCCACCGAGTTACACAATACTTTGGTGGTTTACAATAATATTCGACATAAAAGTTTTTATTGAGATATACAAAATCACATATATTAGATACAAAGTCGACGATTCTGTCAACTTCTTCTAAATTGAGGCATTCTCCAAGACATAACTCTGTTCGATGGCAAAAACACCAAACTGTCATAGTAATATAAGGAGATCGAGGATGTTTAATCAGTTGAATGTCTCTTGCCTGTTTTCGTATTTCATTCGAGTACCCATGTTTTTTCCCCATACAATTAGACCCACCATCAGTTACACTGGCACTCAGTTTAATCAAATCAATACCTCCATTATTTAAAACCTTTTTTATTAAAGTTGCCAATTTGTCGCCAGAAGCTTTATTGTTATAAACAACCAAGTCGAATAGACAATTGATTATTGTCATATCATCAATGACAAACCGAACATAAAAAACATACCAACTGTTTCTATACAACGTAGACTCATCAGACATGATTGACAATCGGCACGATTTAGATGCCAATTCTTTTAAACTGACCATTTCCTTGTTGTAATATTCTTGGCCTCTTTGATTCAAAGTATTTTCAGATAAATGAGTGTGTTGCATAATATCTAATCCAAACTTTTCAATTGCTTCAACTACATAATCAACAATCTGTTTTACTGAAGAAGACTTACTTAAAAAATTGTGTTCGATCATCACGACTCCAATTTTTGTTGACAACATACGGCCCTGATAAATCAAGTCGTTGTTTATATTTTCATCAATGCCTTTTTGTTGTTTGACACAGTTTGGTTCTATAATAGTCGTTTGATGTTTGAGTTTCTCAACGTTTTCACCGATATGGAACGTTTCAATTAATTGATTTTTATAGTTAATGTATTCTGGTTTAAAATAAAACGAGTGCTCTTCGAATTGGTTTTCTACGTAAGAATGAGTGACAAATTTATTACACAAAATACATATATACCATCTTTTTATATGGTCAACCTCCTCTAATAAATAATCGGTGTTCCAATTATTAACATAATCACACCTTCCAGTAAAAGTGTTCATATATTTTTATTAAGTTCTTGAAGAAATTAAAAACAATAGTAATTTACTTCAAGACTTTATTTTTAATATTTTTAATTTTTTACGTGACTATGTTTCTAGTAATTAATAACTTAATAGTTTCAAATTGAGCTTTGTCTTGGAACACAAAAAAGTTTTTTTGCTTTTATTAAAATTATTTTTGATTAAAAATAGAATAAATACCAACTAGAAAAATAAATTCCAACAAAAAAATGATTAGACAAATTAAAACTTTACTTTTTTTTTCAAACCTTAAATTACAATAGCCATCAAAAAGTTTATTTTAAATTTTCTTAAACCATTATTCAATAAAAATCAACCCTTGTCTTTTTAACTTTGTTTTAAAGAGCCCTGCTTTAAATAGAGTCATTTGCTTAACGTTGTTTGGTTTGTAACGTTGTCTGCAGTTTTTTATACTATTATAAATGGAATATTTCGGGATTTTTTTTCTAACCTCAAAAATCATTGTTTCAATATATTTCCAGTTTTTTTCATTTTTACCTAATTCCCGTTTTTTAAAACAAAAATTAATCATTTTTTTGTCAAAAAGACAACATTTGGGAAACAGACAACTATTATCGACTGACTTTATAATTATTAATATCTAAAGTGAATTAAAATAAATAAAATAAAATCTGGAGTAAATTATATGTTTTAATTTTAATAAATTATTAAAGTTATGAAATATTTATTAAATTTTTGAAATGATGTTTGCTGTAGTACATTTCTTTTTATTTAGTTTTTGATAAGTTATGTTTACTATTATAAATAACAAAACACAATAAAACCAATAAATAATAATTAAAAATCAGAACATCGAAACAATAATGAGTGACTCCATGGACAACTATATTCAAGTTGGAATTGATATTGGAACAACCAAATGCTGCATTTGTGCTGTTGGTCAGGACGGGATATTAACAGTTCTCGAAGTAGACATGACGAAATTAGACCACAAAGAGCTTCTCCCATCTTATGTTTCATTTATTCCAAATCAAGTTATTGTTGGTGAAGCTGTGAAGAAAATGACACAAACAAGCAATGTGTTGTATGACCCGAAGCGCCTACTTGGTCTTTCTCTTGAAGAAATACCCGAAGATGAAAAGAAATCGTTTACATTTGATATTGACGAGATAGATAATCATATAGTGTATATGGTTGACATAGGGAACAATGAACCTGAGCCATTTCGCCCAGAAGAAGTAACTGCTTTTCTTGTTCAAAGACTTCTTGCGAAACTGGAGGAGATACTTGAGTACAGAAACAAGAAAAAGAAATATGTTGTGACACATCCCGTTTCATTCAATGAGAACCAAATCAATTCTGCTGAAATGGTAATGCATCTTGTCGGAATCACAACATTCAAATTTTTACCAGAACCAATTGCTGCACTACTAAGCATGAAGACGATGATGAGTGAGATAAAAGTAAATGAGAAGGTTGTAGTTATAGATGTTGGTGGTGGGACACTCGATGTCACAATATGTTCATTAAAAACAGTGGGTACTTTGAGTATGAAGCAAGTGTTGGTGATTTTAGTGTTGGTGGAAATGCTGTTGACAGAGCAGTGAGTGAATTGATCATTGCTAAAACAGCGAATATAGAAGATTATTCCACGTACTTTTCAGAGCCAAAACATGCGCTTATTACTGAAAAAATAGCTTACCAAAAGAAGAAGGCTCGACTTCGGGTAGAGTCAGAGAGAGTGAAGATACTCCTTTCGTCAAATGAAGTTGTTGAAGTCAATCTCTCCTTTTTATTTGATTTAACTGAAGGATATGTGATGGAAATTAGTAGGGCTGAAATGAATGAGAAATGTAGTGATTTATTTGAAAAATATGTTAGGTGCATTAAAAAAACGCTTATGATATGTAATATTAATTCCAGAAGCATTAAGAAAGTGATAATGACTGGTGGTGCGTCTGAAATCATTGCATTACAAGACCAAGCAAAATTGATATTCAAAGAAGCTGCAGTATTTGTTGTTGACACGCCCGAGTTGGCTGTTGTAAAAGGTGCCTCAATGTATCATAAGAAAGAAAGAAAGAAAGAAATAATCGCTTGGATATTATTGATAGAATACATTGTTCGTTTATTTGTTTTTATTTGCAAATAAAGATAGTCAATAATAAAAAATAATCAATGAATTAAGCAAATCAATACAATTATTTTTTTGATTAATTAAGTTTAAAACATTTTTATTATATTAGTATTGAATGTAATTATAAATTAAACTTTATTTTTAAATACAGAATATGTTAATTAATATTTCATATAATAATTTATACCAAATAAATGTTTAATTAAAGCTTTAAACAATATTAATATCTTTTTTCCAATTTTATAATTTTACTGATAGTTTGCAGGACCAAATTAATATTAAATTTGGTTTTTGCAGAGCACTCAAAGTATCCCACTCCCCCAATATTTTGGCAAATTTAATAGCCTCTTCCGTTTCAATCATTTTTCTTCTCATTTGTTTTAGTCGAATTATTTCGTCTTTGACTTCTCTAATATTAGATTTTGTTCCCACAACAACAACAATTGGAATATTTTTCTTGCACTTTAGAATTCTCCCAACAAACTTTTCTGTGCCTTTTTGTTGTTCTTCGTAGCCATAGTGTGGCATTTTGGTACTTTTTTACTCGAAGAAAAAAATCGGCAAATATATATATATTTATAACTCCCCAGAAATTCTGTTATTAATAGATATGAAGAAACTATATTTATAAATTGTTAAAGGCGATCACAGTGAATTTGATAATCATCATGAAGTGTGAAAATCACTATGAAAATAAAAAATCACAGTGAATTTTGAACTCTATTTATATGGTGATGATTTTAAAAATATAACAAAGAAAAAAATTAATTTTACTATACACGATGATGATTTTTAATAATAACCATATTTTTTACTAATTAAAAAACAAACATATTTTTATTTATAAAATTAATTATATATAGTATATATAATCAAAATATATTAATTATTTTGCAATCGAAAGATTATTTCTTATTTTAAAAAAATAAAGAAATAAAAATAATTATTTTTACAAATAAATATAAAAACCGCAATTGAGTTGTGTGAACGGGGAATTTGTATTTATTGATGGAAAAGCGTTTCCGTTGATATTGCGGAGACGTTTGATACGTCTCCGTAGCTAGTTAGTTACAATTAACACAACAATGAAAGTCCTCTGCTATTTTTCTTTAATTTTTTTTGTTAAGAAAAAAAAACGTGAAAAAATTTGAAATAGTATATTCAATCGTAAATAACCTATAATACAAAATCATCATCTATAAATAAAATGTGCATTTTTCATCATCTAAATATAGAATTATTAAGATAAAAGAAAAAAGAAAACACATTGTACTAATAATTTGTATTATTATATATAATATCGTAATAGTACACCATTCATAATCATTTATTATATCATTTAAATTATTGATTATAACATGTTTATCACATTTATCGATTGTAACACCAACAATAAAAAAAGAATAGTCAATAACAATGTTTGATTGTTATCACAATTTGTGGTTTTTGCTATTCATCATAAATTGATTGTATGAATATTTGATGTAACTAAATTTTTATTGTTCGACATTTTATTATAAAATATCATATAAACAAGTGACAGAGCTTGAAACAATGATATAACATCAATACATTAACGGGTTTAACATTTTTTAACGTGAATTATTATTGAATAATAGTAAAAATATTTATTGATATTTTAAACTAAATTTGAACAAGAATTTGTGTTGTTCAAATTAAATATCAGTTTATTAATTGTAAAAATTTATATTTATTTACAAATTTATGAATAACAATCATTTTATCAAAAATTACAATATACAAAAAATACATTTTTAAACATTCATTATAAGTTTTTATACTTTTTAATGAAACCGAATTAAATCTATTTGAAAATCACTTTAAATGTTAGTATTGTAATATAACAAGCTTAAATATTCATTTTCTTGATTGAAATAACACGAGAATGATATAAACATAAATTACAAGCAATATAAATTTGATTAAAAATTTAAATTTATCTTATTTTTTGTTATTAATGTTTACGAACAAATACAAAAAACTTTCAATGAATTTGTGAATTATCAGAATTGTTTATTAAAAAAACAAACATAACCTATCTTTAACAATATAGTTTGAAATACAAATACAACACCTTTGAAAACCGTTTGAATATTGTTTTGATTTTGAACAAATACATGTACGTATTGTGTATTAAAAAAAATAATGTCAATTAAACACAATAAACATACTATCAAAAAATAACAAATTTATCAATAATTGGGTACTTTTGACAATTCATATTAAAGTATGTTTATCTGTAAACAATTGATTATTTAACAAATAAATTTAAATATGGTTAAGTGTTAACTGTATCACGCGTGTCAAGTTTCTTCAAAATAAGTTTACGTTTATTGATCAAATTACAAGTGTTGTAATAATTTAAATGATATAATAAATGATTATGAATGGTGTACTATTACGATATTATATATAATAATACAAATTATTAGTACAATGTGTTTTCTTTTTTCTTTTATCTTAATAATTCTATATTTAGATGATGAAAAATGCACATTTTATTTATAGATGATGATTTTGTATTATAGGTTATTTACGATTGAATATACTATTTCAAATTTTTTCACGTTTTTTTTTAACAAAAAAGTTTTAATAAAAAATAGCGGAGGACTTTCATTGTTGTGTTAATTGTAACTAACTAGCTACGGAGATGTATCCAAAGTCTCCGCAATATCAACGGAAACGCTTTTCCATCAATAAATACAAATTCCCCCTTCACACAACTCAATTGCGGTTTTTATATTTATTTGTAAAAATAATTATTTGAACTATATAATTTAGTAAATATATTAAACTTTTTATTAAAAAAATAACAATAATTATTTTTTTAACAGAAAACGTTAAGAAACTGATTCAAAATATAAAATATTATTTTGCAATTATTTTGTTTTTTATATTTGGAGCAAAGTATGTTGTATTTTTATAAAGTTAAAAATTATTTTCTAAATTTTTCATTTTTAATAATAATCGTTCTATATTTATTTCCTGAGTAAAAAAGCCAAAATAATCAACATAAATAGATTCACCGTGATCGCCTTAACTCTCCACATTTATAATTATATAAAGTTCGTTATAAATAAATAACATTTATAAAATATTGTTATTTAGATATATAATATAAAAATTATATATATATTAACAATATTAAACTATTTAAAATAACAACAATTCAATTATTTAATATTTTTCTCGTTTTCTCGTTTTCTCGTTTTCTCGTTTTCTCGTTTTCTCGTTTTCTCGTTTTCTCGTTTTCTCGTTTTCTCGTTTTCTCGTTTTCTCGTTTTCTCGTTTTCTCGTTTTCTCGTTTTCTCGTTTTCTCGTTTTCTCGTTTTCTCGTTTTCTCGTTTTCTCGTTTTCTCGTTTTCTCGTTTTCTCGTTTTCTCGTTTTCTCGTTTTCTCGTTTTCTCGTTTTCTCGTTTTCTCGTTTTCTCGTTTTCTCGTTTTCTCGTTTTCTCGTTTTCTCGTTTTCTCGTTTTCTCGTTTTCTCGTTTTCTCGTTTTCTCGTTTTCTCGTTTTCTCGTTTTCTCGTTTTCTCGTTTTCTCGTTTTCTCGTTTTCTCGTTTTCTCGTTTTCTCGTTTTCTCGTTTTCTCGTTTTCTCGTTTTCTCGTTTTCTCGTTTTCTCGTTATACGTATTTACGTATTTACGTTTTTGTTATATTTTGTAAATATTTATTTGATTTATATTATCTTTCATTTGTTGTATTCACAATTAAACATTAAATGAGTTAATTTGTATATCAACTTAATCAACTTTTACTTATATGTAGTTCACTTTTTTATTGTTAATTGAATAATACCTCATATTTTGTTTTCTGTTTATATATATCATTTTAAATCACAACACATAAATTGTTCATTTTTGTAAATACACTTTTATAAGTATATGTTATATAAGATTACCACTTAATGTATTTAATACTTTTCAATAACTTTAAGTCTAATTGGAATTTTGAACCATATTTGTTTCAATTTGTCACAACTCACTTTTTAATACGACACAGAGTTTTTTCGTATGTATATTTTAATTTTGAATTGTACCATGATATCAATTATTGACATCCATATATATGAATAAAATACATACATTTTTTTACAATACTGTTATAAGTAATAAATATTATTTCCAATTTTCGCTTTTTATTGTATTTTATGATTATACAATAATCACATTTTTCATAATTTTGTCGTTTTTGTTTTTAATAAACAAGTGTGTTTAAATATCATATCATTAACTCATAAATACTTATCTGCAGTTGATTGTTTGTCATGTTTTTTATACATTATGACAACTATCAATTTAATATATTTTAAAATAACATGATATTTTATTAATTTTCTAGTTTATAATATAATATAATGTACAATATACATACATGTATGTATGTAAATATCATATCATATCATTTGATAATCGTAACTGTACTTTCAAACAAACTATTGTAACAAAAAACAAACCAATTTGTGTATGTATATATCTCAATAGTCTTCGATGATAATATGATTATTATGTTTACGTATTTCTATTTATTTTCAAAGTTTTTGTGTGTGGAAGGATTCATTTTATAATTATAAAACCAAAATAATATAATATATTAAAAAAATCCATTTAGTATCTATTGAATGTCGTCAACATTAAAACATTAATGTTGTGATAAATAAATATTATATATTGCAATTTAATACATAATAATATAATTATAAAACATTGTAAATAAAAAATTACATAACATTTAAATTTCATGTGTTTTCATTATTTCAATTTCCTTATAAAAATTAACTATCTTGAAAAAAACAAAACACAATGAGCAATCCAAACGATTTGATTTTCAATGTAAATTCTTTTAATTATTTTAAAAAAGGATATTTATTAGCCAAATATCAAGGTGTTGAGTTTTCTTTTTGTTTGAGAGATGAATTGTGGATGCTTTTTTCATCATGTAAAAGTCATGAATCCGATGTTCATAACAAACTCAGAACATGTTTTCAACCATTATATGGTGAAAGTTTCCCAAAAGAACTCAATGAAGAACCGGTTATTCTAAACGAAAATGAAATTATCCAATTGTACTCTACTTTTATTGATGAACAAAATGATTCTGATGTGTGTATTTATTTTATTAAAACTCCAGATCACAAATTACAAAAGAAAAAAATCGTATTTTTATTTTTAAATAAACTTAAGTCAAACAAATATTGGTTGTCATTGATTGTCAAAAAAGCAACACAATATAATATACCACCGGCACTTCCTTTGATTTTTAGAAATTCATTAAACTCGAACATTGAAAACGTATCAAGACTAAATCCTATACATATCACGAATACACTAAATATTGAAAACGAATATTCTTATGTCCAAGAAAACAGTGATGTATTATCATCAAATACATCTGAAAGTGATGACTATTCTCTTGAAGAATATTTGAGGAATCCGAAGAGACATCAGAAAATATATTAATAGATACTACACTTCCTAAAACTACACTACAACATGAAACAATCGATCAAATAAACGAACTTGTTAAAAATAAATTTACCGAAACAATTTCATCGGATATATTAACCAAAGATCCCATAAATATAGCTGAAAAATTAAGGCAGTTTTGTTGGGTTAATGACACTTTTTCAGTTGATCGATTTTTTACTTCTTTTTGGTTCGTATTTGATACTAAACAATCAAGGACTTATAAAGATAGGAATATCATTGAACATAGAATGAATCATGTCACTTCATATATTATCAATTCCCTTGGAATTGAGGCGCATTTTTCGCAAAATCAAACTAAAATGATAAAAACTATAATTGATGTAGCGGTATCTTATATCAGCAAAGATAAAAGACGAGACGTTGAATGTTTAAATATAGATTATAGAACAGCTAAAAGGCAAATGACACGCGAAAATACACATTTCCTTGAAAAATTGAATCAAATAATGGAACATAAAGTTGATTGTGTTGCTATTGGGTTTGACTCATCTTTTAAGAATAAACACAAAGATGTTTATTCAATTGAAATGAGGTATTTATATAATGGTAAAATAAAATTGTGTCCATTGGTTTTAAAAACTTTTGACGGTGTTACATCAGGAAAAGATGTTGCAAAATGGTTAAAAATGAGTTGGATATAGCAAATATTCCACATATCAAAGTTGTTGGTGAAACAACCGATGAAAATGCTACCGAAATTGGAGTTGAATCTGGAGTGATCAAAGAATATAATGATTTAGTGAAAGATGTTAAAACAAACCATTTTGATGTTATAGAACAGCCTGTTCATGGTATTTGGTGTTATTTCCACAGGTATCATCTCTGTGGAGAAGATCTTTCTAGTGACTCTGATGCAGGGCCAATTGTCATTTTTATCAAATGGTTCTGTTCAACGAAAATATTTGACGACTTTTATAAAACAAAAAAGATGTTAAATGTTACAATTGATACTTTTGCAAAAACACGTTTTTTGTATATTTGTAGAAATATTAATACTGTATTGGAACATTATGAAGAAATTGTGTCATATGTTTCAATACCCAGAGTTAAAACAGAACTTGAGAGTGAATTTAAAAACAAAAAAGTTGGTACATATAGCAAAACAATAACACGTAATACAACTGAGTGCACTTTTCCTTTTTATTTTGGTGATAATTCTTTAAAAACAAAAAATAAATTGAGAGTTTTGTGTCATTTATATAAAATGATGTTTGTTTTATGTTCGACTTTTCAAAACAGCGAAGGATCTCTCCCTGAATATTATGAAAGAACGACAATGTTTAGAAAATTCCTTTCTACATGTTTACATCAACTTAAAATGGGAGATTTTAAAGAATTCAAAGACATTAAAGATATTCTAATTGTTGATATCGGTTTTACTGAAAGACTGTTATTGCGTTTGATAATTAACACAGAACTTAGATTTAAATACGCAAACATGTAAGTCAATATGAATTAAATAAATAATATGGTTGATTATTCTACTGGATACATGAACGAAGATGTTTATAAAAATAATGAAACACATAACAATTTGAATCAAATATTATACATATATTATATTTCAGATTTGTTATTAAAAGGAATTAACCCAGATATTAATTGTTACAACAATTATTTATTTCTAAATGATGAATTGTTAATTTTAAAAAACTTGTTATCACGTTTGAACGTTGAAGACAAAAAAAGAATTATTAATAACAGTATTAATAATCAACTACAATCAGAATATGACCAAATATTGATCGAAAAGACTAATTATATAACAAAAGTGCGTTTGTTGGACGTCTTTCAAATATTAAAAAACAATCAATTATCACAACTCATTAAAATAGTTGACGTCCTTGTAACCATATTTCCTTCAACAAGTGATGTGGAAAGAACATTCAATCGAATAAATTAAATTAATCATTTAAACAGTCCATTAAAATTTACAGCGGAAAGATTGAATTATTCAATAAAAAGCAAAAAGACAATATACAAAATTAATTGTTAATTGTTTTAATTTGCTTTTTAATATTTAATTTGTAATTTTAAATATCATGTATTAACAATATACACAAAAAAATATTTTTTTACAACAAAATAAATAGATTTCAATTAAAAAGTTTGTATATAACAAAATTTGATTATTTTTATAATTATTTAAAAATATAAATGTGAAATTTAAATTATTTATTTTTTTTTATTTTAAAAAATATATAATTCTAATTAATGTTAAATGTTTATGATTATAATATAATAAATTTAGATTTATTTTTTAGTAAAAAACGTGTTAAAAATTTAATAATAAAGTTAAATGAAAACATAAATAATTCAAAAACAAATAATAATTTAAACGACAATTAATTTCCCGAAATTGTGGACGTTGTTTTTATATTACAAACTTTTTAAGCACAAAATGCTTTATATAAATAGTTTTCAGTCTTATATAAATAAAAAGTTTAAAAAGCCACACTATGTTCGTTGCTCAATGCAAAACAAATGAATACGCATTCGGCTATTTGAACATAAACGTCAAGCACCGCATCTTAATCAGGCTGACCAGTAGTTCTATTGTTCTTGTGTTACATTAAAAAACAAAACATATAAAAATACAAATAGTAAATATTTAAAAAATGATTTGTTTAAATGTAATACATATGACTCTTCTCACCACGAAATCCCATGTACTTGGCAAGAAGCTTTCGAGGTTCACTCGTTTTGCCCTGTCTACAAAATGTTTTCCAACTTCTCTTTGGAATGACTTGTCCTCCTTTTGTCTCACACTTAAAACATTTTTATACCCCACTTCAAGCGCAAACAAGTCTCTTCCTCTTTCGCTTCGGTTTTGCTTCTCCCAGATAAGTGTGAACAAAAATTTTGAGAAAATTGAGGCACAAAAATTCGATTTGGCCGTTTATTGACACTCCTCGCAGTCGCTTTGACTCCAAACAAGAAGTCGAGTGGCGACAAATAGAACGTTTGACTTTCGCTGTAAAACCCAAATACGCATTCATCACAAAACACAAAGAACGCGCATTTTGGAATGTTATAGACCTTCTTGAAAAAGTCCTGCGAGCAACTTTTAGTAATCGGAATCGGCCTCTCGCTGTCATATAAGACCTCAAACTTCGCACATGAAATCCACTTGTAAAAGTCTGCTCGACAATTTTCAATCAACAGAAAGTCGACATCGGTGGTGTCTAAAATCGACTTTTGTGGATGTTGAAAACTCAGCGACTTCTTTTGCTCAAATTTTTTTTGAGAAGATTTAACCCTTTTTGTGCCACTTTCTATAGACATTTTTTGAGTCTGTTTCTCGTCGCCACGTGTCGTTTTTAGAATTTCTTTCTTTTCAAGTTTGTTGTGAGAAGGCGGAGAGAGTGATGGATACGACACTTTATTGAAATCGTTTTTAATTTCTCTTGTTTTACTTGGGAACACTGGGGGCGGAGAGATCTTGTTAATTGGCTTCTTGTTACAGCAAAATTAGGTAAGACGGGATAGACCTTGACAGGCAATGATGGAGATAGACTGTTACTTTTTGGTCTTATTTTTTCATCTTTTTGTTGTTGTGGTATAAAAATGAAGTTTTGGGAATTGTTAACGTCTGGTGGTGTCGTTTTAGAAAGCAAAGGTTTTTCTTCTTTTGTTTCCTTTGTGTCGGTTTTGCTTGGTGAAAAGTCCATTTTTGTGACCCAAAATTATCTTCGATAGTTTCTTTGGTAATAAAAGTTGTTATAGGATTTGAATTTGTTAGAAGAGCATCTATATCACTCAGAATTTCTTCTTTGAATTTCTTGAGTATATAATCAAGCACTTCACCCGTTATAAGTTTATTTTTGTCAACAGAATACGGCAGAGTGTTGTTCAATTCAATTAAGTCGTCCATTTCTCGAATTTTTGCATTACAAGTTCATTTGACCCCCAATTGACGTTTAGTTTTAATGTCAAAATTTAATGTATTAAAACAAAATAAAATTTAAATTATTTTAAATAATACAGTAAATATTATGACATGTTTTTTTCCATTAAAAAATGTTTTATGTTTTGTTATTAAAACTGTAATATAATTATTTAATTATTAAAATATTAATTATTCAAGTTCGTTGGTATATATTATATTTTTAATATATTAATAAATCCACTCCATTCCAAAGTTAATCCATTCTTTTAATTTTAATTAATAACTGTTTTTTCATAACTAATGAACACAAATTTAACTAAAAGATGGAAGAAGTAAAAGCTCAAATTCAAAGCCTAACAACTCTGATCATTAAGCTGTTAGATGACCCAAAAGAAAACCCAAAGGAATTAATTAAAAAAAAGAAGAGCAAAAAGAATTACCCATTCAAGAGCAAATAAAAGAAGCTGAAAAAGAATTTGAAATATTAGATGAAGATTATCAGAGAAGATTACTATAAGAAAGGAGTGGCAGTCACTTTTGCAAGATGTTTTGTTATTATCAGCAATAACAAAACAACACATTAAAGAGATACAAACAGACAAAATTGAATTGGACAAGTCGATAGAGAAATTGAATGCACTTTACACGGACGACTACGAAATAAAAAAGAAAAAACATGAAGAAGACTTTAAAATTGAACTTTCAAAAATAGAAAAAATCAAAACAAATAAAATTGAGGAGCTGGAAAATATTAAAAACAAACGAAAAGAAATGGAACAAAATTTCAATTTTGGTCTTGAAAACGGCCAACGTCAAAAACTTGAGGAAATTACAAAGAAGAAAATTTCCAATATTGTGTTTAACTCATTTGAAGATGACTGGAGCAAAGATACGTCTGTGTTTGATGATAAAATAAAAGGATAAAGTAATCTTCTGTTTTTGATTGAAGACGACCAAAAGAACAAATTTGGAGGGGTTTACTATGGCACAATTGATAAAAGTGGTTGTTGGTTGAAAAACGACACTTCATTCATATTTTCACTTGTGCGAAATGGAGACTTAAATCCGAAAGTATTTGTGTTAAAAGAAGGACAAGGCGACAACGCTTTTATTTCTTGCACAAAAGACAATTCTTATCTTTTTGCATTTGGATACAATAATACAAAAGACATTTACTTATACGACATATCCCTTGGCAAACGTGGTATAATTAACAACAATAAATGTACTCCCACCAGGTACACTGCACAAAGTGGAGATCTCATTGATGGGCAAACATATACACCAAAAAGTATTCGTGTTTTCCAACTTACCAATTCAATTAATTTATTTTTTAATAAAAATGTTTAAAATAACAAGATCAAGACAAAAGAAATTAAACCAAGTTAAACCTCTACTTGTATGTAATAACAAATACACGTGTTTCAAAAATAATATTTAAATGATTTTAATAACTATTAATATACACATCTAAAATTTTGTTGTATTGCTATATATTTACTCGGACATTTTTTAAACAATTTAAAATAAGAAGCAAAAATATTTGTTTTATCATAACAATGTAAAAACATTATATTTCTTACACTAAATATCATTTAATATATCTCATCCAATAAGCAACAGTCAAAGTACATCAATAACAAGTCTTTGTTTTATAACATAATTGCATTTTCTCAAATAAACATATAAAGTATATAAACAAAGAAAAACAATAACAAATGAGTCACACAAGAACATAAACATAGAGATTGTTACATTAAACAAATTCAAAAATAATATTATTTTTTTATGGTAACTTGATTTGTTCGTTGTCCAATTATCCAAATCTCAGCAAAATAAGACAGTGGTTACTGATTATGTTGCAGAGTCTTTTTTATTTTACACAACATGAATTAGACCAGTCAGATACTACTTTTTGTTTGATTTGAAACTTGAATACTTTGAAAAGAGAATCAAATTTTTTGTTGTTCTCTTTTAATGTGCAAATATGTTTTAACAAGAAGAATTCACCATTAAACATGAAATTATAATAATATTGAATGCTGTGATTGTATTTTATTACATTTTATCATCACACAAATCATTTTTATATAAATAATAGATACTTTTTTATAATGTTAATTAAAATATAAAAATGTTTCAATTTAGTAATATCAAGCTGCTGTATTAAATACTTAAATTAATTCATTTGGGTTTATACCGCATTATAACTTTTTTGAATAGATTCAACGATATTATTAATTGTTTCTCTTTCTTTTGGGTTTTGTTTCCAACACATTTGTATTAGTTGATATAATGTTTCTGGAATGTTTTCTCTTCTTTCAAGTCGTTTTCCAGCAGTCACAAATTCTGCTATTTTCCATGGAAATTTGAATGTGGTAATTGGATACGCTGCACACCACCCAAACACTTCAAGCATTGTTATTGCAAAAAATAGACATCTGCTGGTTTCTTATAATGCTCTTTGTTCAACACCTCAGGTGCCATGTAAGTTGGTGTACCAATACCCTTTGTGAATGTCATGTTAGTCATCAACATATTCACATTTCTAGCACTCCCAAAATCAGTCAATTTAGCATTCACTTTATCATTTAAATTTAATGAAAACACAAGTAAATTGCCTGGTTTGATGTCTCGATGTAAAATGCAGTTTTCGTGTAAATACAAAATCCCTCTTGATGCGTCCAACATCATTTTAATTCGAAGTATCATGTCAACTTCGTCAGATGTTTTGTGTTTCATTAATTTTTGTAAACTTCCATATTGTGCGAACTCGGTGACCATACACACTTTATTTGGTATAAATACAGCTCCATAGAAATGGACGATATATTCACTCCGAAATTTGTCAAGCATTTCAACTTCTTTGGTAAAGTCAATTATTTCATCAACATCTTTTTTTAATTCCTTCATCTTCTTAATAGCTACACAATTTTTTCTAAAACTTCCTTTGTAGACAATTCCAAAAGACCCCTCGCCCAGTTTCTTCTCTTCAATTAACTCGTCTGGGTCAAGTCGTGTTGACATCTCAGTAATAATGCTCAGAGTTAATTGGTTGTAAATGGAATTAATTGTTAGTAATTCCATCTCTTAATCCTTTTGAGAAAAGAACAATTTTATCATCAATTTTACATGAACAATTTGGTTCAATAAATATTTCAAATTCGACTGCCATTCAGTGTGGTAAAGATACAATTTTGGGTTCTGTTTTGATTTTGTATTTTGCAGTGTTCTTTTTTTTGTCGAAAATTGAATTTTTAAATGTTGCTTTGACGATTTTTTTACACATAGCAACTCACTAATTTCAACACATACTTTGACTAAATAATCAGAACAACCAAATAATATATCAGTTTTATTGACAACGACATTATCGCCAAGTTGAACAAAAGAAATTTTTGAATAACTCATTTTAAAACTTGTTGTTGTTTTTTCAAGTTGTTTTTGATGTCCTTTTTTCAATATATTTAACTGTAAATACAATTAATGATATTGAAAATATCATCATTATTATTGTTAACACAATTATAATAAGAAGTACCCACCAAATTATTTTCTTGTCACATAACGTTCCGGTTATATTTGGAAAGTGCCAAAATGTATATTTTGAGTTTAGTACTCTAATACATTCTGATACAAATGTATATCAAGACGAATTCCATTTTCAAATAAACCCTATTTTTAACACAAGATGTGCATTTCTCATGTTGTGTACATGTTGTACAGTTGTTGTAACATTTTTCACACTCTTTGTCATTAACAGTGTGATATCCACGCAAACATTTGTTACACCCATTTTGTGTGACTTCAACAGCACACCCAAAAATACTGTTTTGTGGCAAACACTTTCCACTTATTGTTTTATAATTTGTCGAATTGCAAGTCAAACACTTGTCTTTTGTGTTGCATGTTGAGCATTTAGAAAGACATTCAACACAATCCATCCCAACTCTGTAATACCCATCTTTGCATTGATAACACCCACCACTAATTTGTGATATTTTGTCGCATTTCCCCAACAGCTCGGTGCTTGGTATACACGTGTAATTCTCATCCATACAAAACCCATATTTACATGACAAACATTTTGTATCACTTTCAATACAACTTGTGCAATTTTCAGAACATGATAACATTTTGCAAATAAAAAGTAATACCCAATGTCACACGTAATACAGCTATATTTGTTATACATAATACATTTAGTTGAAGTTGTGTTCTTTATAACACTTACACAAATGTTATTGTTAAGATTATAATTATTATCACATTCCAAACATTTGTTGTTCACAATAAAAACACATTCTTCTTTTGCTAAAACACACATTTCGTTTTCTTCATTAAATGTTTCATTTATACAAATAAGTGACGTGCATTGTCTTTCATTGGTAATAAAACAATTAGTTTCACATGTGATTGCATTGTTTTTGTCACATGATATAGAGTGTACGTAGTTTGATGAACAATTGTTGCAAACCCCATTTGCCATGTAATAATTGTCATTACACCAAACAGTCGATATTCCATTTGAAACTGCACCTTCGATTTCAACGCAAGAATTTTCATTATTTAGAATGAAATTGTTATCACAAATAAAACATTTTTCGTTTTTACATAAACGGCAATGCGATGTGCAGCTTTCGCATTTGTCATATGAATTTCCGTTGTGACAATTGATGCTAACACTCCCATCACTGTGTTGGCATTTGAAATCCAACACACATTTGTTTTCATTTTTTATGTAACTATATTGACATTTGTAACAATTAGTTGATGTGCCATATAAACAAATTTCTGAACTAATACATTCGAATTGTTCATTTAAAACAAACCCAGTTTTACACAATACACCTTTGTTGTTTTTGTTGTACGTCTCACAATTTTCGTCAAGAGGTAGACATGTTCCATTTACAAGTCGAGATTTATTGTCGCACATGAGGCAAGTTAAACCATATTTAGTCACTTCAACTAGATAACAATTATTCATCGCATTATAACTACTGGGGTTTTCCAAGAATACAAAACTTTATTCAATTACAATGAAATTAAATAGAACTATTTGAATCAAAGTAGTGTTTTTAGAAATAAAAACTTTCGTGTTTTCATACAAACATAGTGTTTTTCTTCTTCCAGTGCAGTCATTTTTAATTCTGTGATGTTTTGGTTTAAATCAAATCTGTAATATGAAGCACCGTAACAAGACACTGTATTTGACATAGTTGAATAAATAAATGACGAAAAATTTTCAAACAAAGAAATTGGTACTTTCTCAAAAGTGAACAGTAACACTATATCATTACAATTTAAAGTTCAAATTTGATGTTACACGTTAAAACACTAAAAATTAATTAAGTTTTATTTTTGACATTTTATAAAAATAGAAATGTTGTGATAAACAGTGAAAACTAATACATCAACTATTATTATTACTTCATTGAAATTAATAATAAATTAACTTTTCTGTTTTAGATAATAATAAATATTGTGGTGTTACTGAGGTATATATGTTTAATTGTGTGTTTTATATGAGTAATAAGAATACTATAGTTAAAAAAATAATCTAATATAACAACTCTCTTACATGTAATTATCAACAAAAAGTTGTTAAACAAAATTGTGCACATCGACATAGTTACACAACACAATTGATAACAATTGTTTATTTTTGTTTAATGAATATCATAGTCATCACACAAAAGTTATTATTTACAATCAATAAAATCAATGTAATAAACAACCATTATTTAAGTTGAATTTTAATTTGATAATTACCTTTGTATCAACACTGTTGTATATATTTTTTGTTTGAACATCTAATTGTGTAAATTAATTTGTTATGTGAAATTTGATTACAAGATCTGTTAAGGTTAATGGTGATTATATATAATTAATTCAACAATATGTAAATTCAGAAAAAAAATTGTGCAGTTTTAAAAAATATTATTTGGTTATTTGGTAAAGAGGAAAGTAAAATGCCGATTTACAAAATAAATAATTAATTCGATTCAAAAGATTATAAGATTACTTGGGTCGTGACAATCTAGGAGGTCACCTTAACAATTTAATGTTTATTTGTTTTACATCGGTATAAAATTAAATGAATAAAAATACTTTTATAGTAGTTTTGTATTAACATAATAAACTATAGTTAAATGATTGATAAGTTGTTTTAAATAGTTTTTTGAAATCTTCCTTGTGTTTATTTTTATAAATTATATTTGTTCAATAGCATAAGAGTTAATTATATTTTTGATGTTTTGATTTTCAATCAATTTCCCAGTTTTAACCAAAATAAAATCAAATTTGCTTCTATTTTTGATTACTTTGTTAAACCCCGACTAAAGTTCAACAAAAGTTAAACAGATACAGACAAAATGTGCAAATTTTGTAAGGTGAAATTATTGTTTTTAACTATAAATGTTAATAATAAATAATTTTATTAGACTTTCTCAAGTTTTTATAAATTTAATAGTTTTTTAAACAAACTTAAGTTTCAAATTAAAGCAAAAATTACCTAATAAGTTATAATTTCCATTAATTTATGAAAATTAAATAGACTTATAAGGATTTAAACTTATATATCATTATAAATCATTTTATGTCATCATGTTTCTTATATTGGGACAATGTTTTTGGAATTATAAAATTCTTTTTTATATTATAACACCTTTAACATTAAACAAATTAATTTGTATGTGATTTCATTATTTAAATACATAACTATTTACTAACAAACCAAAACATTATTTACAATTATGTACACACTTATTAAATATTGTAATTATTTTTATATTTAAGAAACAATGTGATTGAAAAAAACCAAAACATTTATAATGTTTAAAAGTATTAATAAGTTATTAATTTGTTTGAATTTCTTTAATTTTAACATTTTAATAGTTCTGAGTTATAGCCATTATACAGTTTTAATAATAAAATCCATTTACATTCTAGTTATTGTGTTATGTTTTGTTTTTTGTGCTTTATTTGAAAAATCAAGTTGTTTTGCAAGTTTTTATCTTAATGTTAATATCTGTGTTTTATGTCCAAAAGGTTATTACTGTCCTTCAGATGGAATTAAAATTCCGTGTGATCCTGGTAATTTTTCGGCTATACTTGGTCATGATTATTGTAAATTGTGTCTATATGGAACTTACTCAACTGAATTTGGATCAACAAAATGAAATACCTGTCCACTCGGTTCTTACTTTTTGATTGGTGCAACTTTTTGCACAATTTGCACTAGTACAACATGTGATTCATTTAGTCCAACGACAGGAAAGTGTCTCTCTTGTTCAGTTGGTTGTGGTTTTGTTTCTGATGGTATTTGCAAATCCTGTGAAGCTGGATATTTCTCTCCTGGTGGTTTTAATTCATGTTCAAAATGTCCAACCAATCATTTTTTCTACAACTGGAAGTGGTTTTTGTACCCCGTGCAACTCAGCATGCAAAACGTGTGATGACACAAATGGAAACTGTTTAACATGTTACATATTTTTTTATTTCAAATAGTGTTTGTTTGAGTTGTCTAGCAGGTCAATTTTACAGTCCAGATGGTTGTTCGGATCGTTTAGAACAAACTTATACTTTTGCAAACAGTTCAATGTGTATGAATTATAGTTCATGTGTTACATGTGACAAAACTAATGGTGAATGCATTTTATGTAAGAAGGGGCAATTTATTGAAGATTATAAGTGTATTTATTTTAAAACTGGAACTTATAAAAATAGTTTCCGATGTATACCCCGTCAAAAAATAACATATTCAAATTTACCAGCAAATGATAAAAAGAAAAGAACAAATGTGATGTCTGCCCAATGGGAACATACTCAATTAGTCAATCAACTACTTGTTTTCTTTGCAAAAATGGTTTTTATTCAACAGAAGGATCATCTAAATGTTTGTCATGCAATTCAACGTGTTTAATGTGTAACAAAACAAATGGAAACTGCATCACTTGTATTTCTAACAATGGTTTAGATGAGTTGTTTGATTTCCACATCTGTCCCGCCGTAATTTACGCAAATTCAACAAATAACAAATGCCAACACTGTGAAGATAAAATGTATCAGTCAAATGATGGACAAACATATTGCAATTCATGTGATATCAACTGTGAAACATGTGATAATATCAGTGGCAAATGCCTGAAATGTTATTCTGGATAAGTTCTTAGTTATGACGGGAACTGTAAATTGTGTCCTAATGGCTATTATTCAAATGGTAACATTTCAACGTGTTTGCCATGTCCATTTGAGTGCACAAATTGTTTCAAAGAAAGTGGCGAATGCACAACATGTCAGTATCGGTACAAACAAGTCACAAATCAAAACACTGGAAACAAAGAATGTGTTTTATGTTCGTTAAATGGTAATTGTGCCATGTGTGATTTGAATATTAACGAGTTTAAAAAAAATGTGTTGAGTGTTTGGGTGGGTTTTATTTGAAATTTAACAACTGTTACAATTGTTTACAAGTGACAAATTGTGTGCAATGTTTACCAAAGAGTAGTAATTGTTTGACGTGTTCTGGTGAATATATTACAGTTGGTGAAATTGTATCTCATGCGAAGAAGGCAAAGTGAAAGTTACTACAAATATTTGTATTAGTTGTTTAAATTTTGAATTGATTCCAAATTGCCAACTCTGTGAATACAATAATGAAAAACAAACGTGTTTTAAATGTTATGCATTTTATGTTTTGAATGATGACAAATTAGAGTGTTTACTGGCGTATTCAAACACTACACATTATAATTATGATACATTTAAAAGTGTTATTAATATTGAAGGTTGTATTAATCAAGTAAATTCGTCGTGTTTCATGTGTAACGACAAATGCATTTTAATTGATGGAAAATGCATTGAAAAACAAAATGATAAATGCTTTAATTATTCTTTAAAAACATGTGATAACTGTTATAAAAATGTTATTACAACAGATAGTGATTATTCAATTACAAGCACATGCAAATACCAACTTACTCAAAATGACAAAACAACTTGTTTGATATACAAAAACAACACACAAGAAGGTATCAAAATAAACAACTGCAGATATACACAAAACGAGTTTTGTTATTTGGCGGATGGTGGATATTACACGACATTAGACAACAATGTAAAAACTACAAATTGTGAAAATTCTAAGATCTGTCAAAATGTTATCGGTAAAAAAGTCTACTTACCATGTAAAAACTATTTTGTATTAAAATTAAACATGTTGTGTTCACAAGACTCTAACTGTGCCGAATATAAGAACGATGTGTGCATTACATGTAAGGATAACCATCATTCTATAAGTGGTGGATGTATTTCAAACGACAACGAGTGTATGATTCAAAACAAAGAAATTTGCATATTTTGTAAAACTAGTAAAATAATAGTTGATGGAATGTGTGTTTCAACAGATTCAATTGACTGCAAAAATTTTGTTGAAAAAGTTTGCAAACAATGCGAAGAAAATTATTAGAAAGACACGAATGGGTGTTTGCCAAAACAAGACAAATACAAAAACCGGGAATATGTAAGTGTTGTGTTGTGTCATGTTTGGAGTGCAATAAATCCAATGTTCTTGTTGACGGTGATGAATATAATAACACAATAAATACACTTAATATTCAAACAATGAGTAAAACAACAACAGACAACTTCATATTAAGAAGTTCAAAGGGGTGTTTGCGATGTAGTGATGGGTATCACATTTCAAACTCTGTTTGTGTGAAATGTGAGTACCCATGCACTTATTGCTCGAATTTAACGTATTGCACAAAATGTGATTCATATTCGTACATCAAGAATGGCAAGTGTATTGAAATCAATGAGATACTGAGTGTGTATGATGTGATGATGTCGACATATGAGGGGTGTGTTGTGTGTAAAGACGGGTACATGCGATCAAGTGATGGCAAGCAATGCGTTAGATGTGACATGTCGTGTGCAACATGTTCCAATGATGGTGATTGTGTTGTTTGCAGTGATAGATATTACAGAACACCAAACAACAACACTAAGCTGTGCAACCCACAAAAAGAATTGAACAACTGTTTGAACAAAACAACAAGTGGTTGCACACTATGTGAAAATGGATTTGCACTGAAAGACAATTTGTGTTACAAATGTGGTCAAAACTGCATTTTTTGTGATGCCACTTTTGAGTGTTCAAATTGTGATAATGACAACGTTTTAAGAAACGGAGTGTGTGTTTACTTTTCTAAAATACAAAACTGCATTTCATCACAATTCTCCATTTGTTGGGAGTGTGCAGATGGCTTTAAGTTGAGTGACAATAAAATATAGTATTTTGCAAACACGATTTATGGATTGGTTGTTGGTATTCCAGTTGTTTGTGTTGTTGTGATGTTTGTTGTTATAATTGCATTTATAATCATTGTAGTTCTGTTTGTGTTTAAAAAGAAAGACAACAAACACACCAAAAATATTTGTGTTTTCAAGATGAGTCGCTCCAATATCATTATGACTAAACTTGAAGGTGTTATTTTTTCAAACAAAAATGAAATTTCTTTTTGGTTGAAAGTGACAAAATACAAATTGAAAATGAAAGTCGTGAATTGTTGTGTGTTAACAACTAGTCTATAAGTAACATGAAAATTCAAATCACAACAAAAGACAAGTGTGACAAATACAAAATTCGCACAAAACCCAAAATTGTGACTTTAAAGAGCGGATTTGTATGCGAATTTGAAGTCTTTATAACACCATATTGCACAATGGATTTGAGTGACGAAATCATGATTGTCTCGCTTGATTTACATTATGGTAAAGGGATTCATGAGGATTGTTATTTTTTCTGAGGATGGTAAATATCTTAAACATAATTTCTTTCATTTTGGATTTTTTTGCCTAAGATAAATAAGGTATATTTTGAAACACGTGATTTTCTTTAAAAATGCTATTTATGGATTTTTTGAAAGATGATTCTTTCAGTTGATTTTTACAAAAAAATAATCTATTTCTATTTTCTGATTTACCAGTTGACTAACCTTGGTTCATATGAAAACAATAAAAATTAATTTAATTTATCGAAAAAGTCGATTTATTTATCAAAATCACAAAACAAATTAATTTAACAATTTTTAATCTTTTTCACAAAAAATACAATTTATTATGAATCAATTCATGATATTTCAAACAATAAAAATTGATAGCAAATAACATACTGATAATTAATACTTTATGCGATGACAATTTATGTATTTGCGCAAATTCAAAACGCGAGGTTTTGAAGATCGATAAAACAACGATTGATAAATAAACAAATTTGTATAATTATTGTTTTTGTTATAAACGGTTTTATTTATTTTTCAAAACATATACATACAAGAAATATATGTTTATATTATTTTTTTATTATACGATATTAATTTCAATAAATGTATCTTTAATTCAATAAACAATTTTATATATTATTTGGCGTTTTTGTTGTGTTTTGACGATTTTTGATATAATCAATTAACAAAAACCCACTTTATAAATAATCTTTGAAAATATAATTTTATTTATAGAATTTTAAATCAATAATGGCAGTGCTATACATATCTCTGAGGATGGTAAGTCGTGTAACAAACAGACTTTATCAACACAGACTTAAACATCTAAAAAGTGAAATGACGTGTTCCCATATTCAAAAATAGTAACTTACTCAATATACATTTCAGACAGATGAAAAGTGTAAACTTTCTATTTCTGTCATCCTCAGAAAATAATTGCCATCCTCAGAACTGTAAATCTGTTTAAAACACAAGTTAATATCAAAATGAAACAATCATATTAAATTATACACAATATGATTAACTTTGTTATTATAATAAATTTGAATAATTGCATAAATTACAAAAATATTTATAAATTTGTTTTTTTAAAAATGCATTTTTATTAAATCAGTGTTTTCGACTTTTTCAATTTTCATTTTGATAAAAAAACAATTATCAATTTAAATGTAGATTTTAATTATTATGTTATAAAGACGGATTCGGAAATAATTTCAATAAGTATATAATCATAATACGAACAAGTTGAATACACAATTTGTTATTTCCCGTCTCAAGTTCGCGAGATATAATTATTGTTTTTGTTTACTGATTATCGTAACGATTTTTTGATTGTATTTAATTTTTTGGCATTTATGACAAATTATTACCATTATTTAAAATTTGAACTTTGACTCAAAATATTAAGTGTAAATTATAACTTGGGGTATGAAAGTGGGCTTTATGGGGAACTGAACCTTATGGATTTGTTTTTTGTATCCTCATAAAAATATTTTTTAATAAGGATAGCTTTGATCCTGAGGATACACCTTATCCTCAAGAAACCCTTAAACAAAACTCGACTTTAATCAAAGCACTGGTGGAACAATCAACACGTTTGGATTACGACGAAATTAAAACTGAAAAGAAACTCAGCGAATAGTCATTTGGTATTGTTGACAATCGGACTTACAGAGGAAATGTTGTTGCAATAAAGAAGATGAAACAAGTTGCCAACTCAAATGAAGAGAATACAGTTGATGAATTTACAAAAGAAGTTGAAATGCTTGACAAATAACCAATATAATATGTTATATATAAATTATGCTATATTTAAATGTTAATAACAATAATTATATTTGAATGTCATTAGTGTAACTCAATACTAATTTATGTATTTTATTTTTTTGAATGTAGTGTTAATAAAAGATCAACTTATTGTTTTTTGAAAAACCCAATTTTTTAAATCAATATCTTGATTCTTAGACTTCTGGGGTATAATAATTTTTATATATTATGGACACACAAACTTGAGCCAAAATTCAAATTATAAAACTGTTGCAAAATTTAATTCCTCTCAATTTAGTTTAATCATTTGAAATTTAAGTTTGATTTTACATGTTTACATAGTTGAAAAGTTACTTGTTTTGTTTTTAGGCTGTTTTTCAAAATGAAAGCGTATCAATAAAGAGTAAAACTTAATACAACAACTGTTATTTAATAGGTGCTTCTTTTTAATTTTATTATTATTATTGTTTTTTTATTGAAAATAAGTGTTTATTGTTGTGTTTTGTTATATGACAAATAATATAACGATAGTTCAGAAAAAAAAATGTATATAATATCTCGCTTATATGTAATTATAATCATTTAGCTGCAGGATGAAAATTGAGGATATCAACTTTGTTATACAATGAAATTAATAACAATGATTAATATTTGATTATTTTGTTTTAACATAATGTCAAACAAATTACACAAAAATTAAAATCGATATTTTTGAATAACAATGTCATTAACAATCGTTATTCGACTTTAAATTTAATTTAACAATTAAATTTGAATTAAAAATATTGTATATCTGTTATTAATTTATTGAAACTTTTTATTGTGTTGATAATTATGTTATGTAAATAATTAAAAAATTCATTATATAAAACTTATTATAAAAAACTCCAAAAACTTATGCAATTTTAAATAATGTTTGTAAAAAAAGTAAAAACAAATTGAAATTTAGAACAATAGTTGTACCTGGTTGTAATTCGAAATACACATAACACAATTATATTACCAAACTTTGTAAAAACAAATGATGTCAAAACAGTCATCAGCACGCATGGTGATCCACTCAAAAATGTTTGAAAACTTTGCACCAAAACACAACACCCCTTTACAAAACAAGGCAATCAAAACAGTCACATACATCACACTTAATGAGCAATACGATAAGAAACAGAAACGGTGGGCTTATCAAAATTTCAAAAACAAGAAATCAAAAGGTAAGAATCCAACACGTGTTGAAATACGCTCACAATTTGCTTTCATCTGATTGTAGTTCAATTCGATTGTGTTATTGTTGTTTTATTTGATAATTTAAATTCTTGAATAATATTATCAAATATAATAATATAAAATAAAAATACACAAAAAATAGTCAAACAGACTTCAGTGCCTCTCATTTCAGAGTGTTGTGCACGCACTCGACCCCTCAACAAGCAGTTCATCGTGCATTGCTGCGTATCTCCCTCTGGCACTGAAGTGATGAAAGTCTTCATCCTATTTTATGAATTCTATTTGTTTAATAGAAAGTGACATACTCTAAGAATGATCCTAGTCGTACGGTCTAATTTTTTATTTTTTATTTCTTTGTCTTTGTAATTATCGCCAAAATCAATAATTATGGGTTTGAATTTCATTATTTATTAATTTTTTATTTAATCTACTACAAATTATATTATCAATTATATATTTAATTATGAATTAACTAAGATACTATAATAAATAATATATAATAAATTAATAAATATTAATTAGATACTAATAAATTAAACTATAACAATTAATTAATAACATATTATATTTATACAATTCATTATAACTATAAAATTATCAACACATCTCAAGTGTTAAAAACAGATTAAAACACAAAACCAACCAAAAAGTAACTTAGAAGGCAATCATCAAGAGAAACACAACAGTTACAACTAACACCTTTAATGTCCCACTTTTGTTCATACAAACCTCGCATTCAGTGTTGCATTGTTTGTATGGCGTGTTGTAAGTGTCTTTGCACTTCTCGCATTTTCCTTCTTTTTCAAAGTACTTTTCTGGACACATGTCAACACACTTGTCATCTGACATAAAATAGTTTTCTTTGCACTTGTCACACTTTTCTTTTGCTGCACACGTCATGTAGTTATCCATGCACATACCACATTTTTTTGTTGTCGACATTGAAGAACCCATCTCGACATTTCTCAACACACTTCATAGTTCCCTCCTCCAACATCTTTGGTGAAACACACTCTTGGCAGTCAGTTGCATTGCTGCACACTTTGCAACCATCAGTGTATCTCTTGCACATCTTCTCAGCACCATCTTTGAAATACATTTCTGGACAGTTGCCTTTCACACACTTTTTGGTGTCTTCAACAATCAGAGCATCGTCTTTGCAAACAGTGCATTTTGTTTCTTCGGTGCTCGTATTGCAAACATCAACACATGCAGTGCACACCTTATCCTTTGCAAAGTACGCTTCTGGGCAATCCTTTTATAAGTTTTGTCTGGTTGGAACTTGTTGGTTGTGCATAAAATAAAATCCGTGGCTAATTTGCATTTCTCATATCCAGCAATTGTGTTACACATAAAACACATTCCCTTAGTTGTCAAATAAAATTCATCAATACAAAACAAACACTTTTACTTGGATTCACAAGTCAGACAATTGTTTCCAGTTTTGCACTTCTTACATGTTGCTGCTGCTGTTTTATCTTTGTAGTATCCAGATGGGCATTCAGTGGCTGTAACACATTTCCAGTGTTTTCAAACAGAAGTAGTGGGTTATCTGGACAAGAAGTGCATTTGGTCCCATCAGTGCAAGTTTTGCAGTCTGCTAAACACTTCTTGCAATTGAATGAAGTTGCGGTTGAATCGTAGCTATATATTATTCATCATCACATGCATCAAAACACTCAAAAATGTCTTTTTATATAGTTAGTTTTTATGATATTGGTAACATTTTTTAACGACAATATATATATATATATAATATTGTTAATAGTTTCAAATTGGATAAATACATTGAAAAGTAATCCAGAATCATAGTCAAATCAGTTTTATCATGTGATGTTAATCTGACATTTCATTTAAAAACTTTTATGACAATTATTATAAAAAACGAAAAAACTAAAACACTTATACAATTTGATATTGTTTTAATATGTTATAAATGAAAATAGTATGATTAATTTAAGTGTTATTATTTGGTAAAATGAAAATTTGAGTTCTCGTGTTATCAGAAACAACTCACTAAATAATCACTTTTGTCAGTATAAATTACAATGGTATGTGTGTCGTTTAATAATCAAATATCGTTGTATTAAAGTCCAATAATATTTATATTTGGTTGTAACATAAAATAATAATATACACAATTGTGGTTTTTAATATTGTTCTTTTAAATAATTATATAAATAGAGTAAATTTGTTGTATACTTAGAATATATTTATGTTTAAATGATTTTTAGCATATGTTTATTATTATTGTATATAAAAAATGAAAGTAAATTGTGTTGCTAAGTGATTTTGTGTTATATATATTTTATAATAAAAAATTAAATTGAAACCATATTAAATAATTTATTAATTATTTCTATTTATCTGTTATCTTTTTAACAAGTCCAAATGATTTAAATTTTTACACCCATCAAATGTTCCCTTTCCTATATATTTGATTTTATTTCCATGTATAATATTAGTAAGATAAATATCATTTTTAAAACACCTTTCTCCTATAATTTCAACGTTTTCTGGAATACTGATATTTGGCAACCAAAAACAACCTTCAAAGCATTTTCTCTTGATACAAGTGAGTGTTGTAGGCAAACTGATAAAAGTCAAACAACTACATCCACAAAACATTTCTATTGGAAGTTCTTTCACGCGACTTTTAATTGCAACATTCTTCAAACACAAGCAGTGCCCAAAGCACTTTCTTTTGAGTTGTGTAATATTCTCTGGAAGTTCGATTTTTGACAGTAATCGCACACAATAAAACGCGTATTTGTCGATCGACCTGAGACAGTCATTGAATTGAATTGAATTCATCGCACAATATGAAAACGAAAAACGATTAATGGAAAGAACTTTTTGAGGAACGACAAAGTTGGTTAGATTTATATAATTTATGTCGTGTGATACATTAAAAAATGCTTCTGGTGGTAATTGTTGAGATTTTATATATTCTCGTGTTATTTCAATATTTTTATAAAGAACGTTTTCGACTGGACAATTCTTAATATGCAATTTTTGAATGTCATCGAATTTCACATTAAAATGAACAACAACGGAATACAATTTTTTAAAAGAAAGTTTTGACGAATATTTTGAATATAAATGTAGGGTTTCCAAATTTGGAAAGTATTTTTGAGTTTTTCGAGTTATAGGAATCGGGTTGTAGTGAAATTTGGATAAATTGTCTTTGTACTTTTTACATACAAATTCGATGTGGATAAAGTCATTTAGAGACTTAAAAAATTGTGAAACAATCATCATATTATAACTGTCTATTTGACTCATTTATTATTTTAGAATACAAGATTTATATTTATAAGAAAAATAAATAATTATTAAAACTAATATTAATTTCATTTTTTACTATACAAAACCATTTTATTTTGATGGTTTTTTCTTCTGTGATTGAAAAGCACAGCATCAGACATTTACAGAACAAAGAATCTTGTCAATAATCCACGAAATAATAATAAAAATGAAATTGTTATTTTTAATGTTAAAATGACGTTGGCATTTACAAAATGGTGTTTAAAAACGTTAATATTATTTTGAATTTTTATTTTTTTGTGAATTTAAAAAATTACTTCAATGTTATTTTATTATTATTTGTTAAATGATGTATCGTTATAAAAACTTTGAACAAAACGTGAATTATAAAAAGTGTCAAAATAATTAAGAATTATAAATCTAAAAAGGGTTTTTAACATGATATATATATATTTCAAATCAAACATCTAAAACCAATTTATAAAGTATTTTAGTTTTTTGTATTCATTTTAAAAAGCCTACTATTGACACAACAATAATAATTATTATTATAATTTTGGGAGGTTTAAAAAGATTAACTATTTTATTTTAACAAAACATTTAAAAATAATAAACATGTTTGAAATGTGATAATATATCAATACGTCACATTATTAAATAAATAAAAAAGCATCTGTGGTCTGAGATCAGTATTCCACCCTTTCAAGGTTGAGATCCGGGTTCGAGTCCCGGCAAATATACTTTAGTTGTATTCTTAAGATTGTCAACAAACTATTTGAAATCTTTTTTATGAAATCTGAATTAAAAAGAAAAATTACAACTGCAAGATTTGAAATTAGGCCTTAAATGAGGGGTTATGTATATGTTTCCGTTTTGGACCACTTGTCCAAGATGTCTATTTTACATTTAAATAGATAATTATTATAATGTTGTTGAGATTATATCATTTTGCTTTATTGTATAAGTATAGTTACAATATAATCAAACTTAACAATATATATATATGAATATACAACGAAAAACATAATATTGTTCAATTAAATATTGGCAATAATATTATTACTCATCAAATTATGAATAAAATTAAATTTATGTATATAGTTGATTTGTGTAAAAAACCTTTTATTATTTTAATACATGTTTTATTTTATTAAATGATTAAAATTATAATAAACATGTCAAACTATTTCTGGCACATATTAATATATATATATAATTTGTGATGTAAAATAAGTGATCAAATTTTAATTGAATAAAAAAATAAAATAACATTTTTAGTGATGATAATGATGTGAATATTAAGAATAAATAATCATTTGTATTAATTTGCCATCAACCACCAACTCTATTGATGTGTTGTAATTTTTAAAATCATACAATACCATTAACAATTAAAATCATAACATTTATATATTTAATTAAAACCATTTAAATAAAAATGAAATAATTATGAATAGAATTAATCACTAAAAATTCACCAGATGTTCTTTTTTCACTTAATTATGTCATTTATTGTTTGCATTTAATTGGGCTATATAAACAAAATATGAAAATTGATATTCACCAAATGCCACCAACAATTAACACAGACAACTGTACTGGATGCGGTGCTTGTGTATCAGCATGTCCTGCTAACGTCCTCGAACTGCAAAACAACAAATCAATCGTTGCAAGACCAGATGATTGTATTGAGTGTCACGCATGTGAAGAGGCATGTGCTTTTAATGCAGTCTCATTTCCTTAATTGAAGAGTTTTTTATTTTGTTAAGGTGAAATAGTTGAGATATGTAATATTATTGTCAATTCAAATAATGTACCTTATTCAATATTAAATAATATTGAGTTAATATTGAAATGATATTTTCAATGATAAAATGTTGTTGAATATACATATTATTTTTACTATATGTATAATTATACTTAACAATTTAAAAAGTATTGCTGTTAAAAATTATTTGTTTATTTGTTTGATATTTTTTGTTTGTATTTTACATTTAAAATATTTTTATTTTAATAAAGATTGTTCTATTTTTTAGAACATTAATATTGTTTTATATTGGATTTTTTTTGATTTTTGTATATTTCCAATTGAAATTAAAGTAAGTATAATAAAAATGTTACAAGAGACCATTGAAACTAAAATAAATTATATAATAATTTAATCTATAATTAATGTATATAATTTTATAATAAAATAATAATTTTAATGACAAATTTAATTTTAATAGTCTTACAATTTTTCTATAACAATTCATTGTTATTCTAATTTATTTACAATTATTGAAAGTTAAAATAATAAGACAAGGATATCCGTTTTTGTGATTATATTTAACAGTTTATACTTTGTAATAAAAATACTTATTTAATAAATAATTATTGATTAATTATATAAAGATGTATGTTTTTGAAACAAATGTTTAATTTTATATGATTTAATACTTAAAATGAATATAACATTTTTACAAAATAATAAAAAAGTTTTGTTGATTTGATAATATGTAAAAACAACAATGTTTGAAAAATTTATATTACATTAAACTTATATAAAACAAAACAAATAACAAATTTTGGATTTGATTTTAATAATTTTCCGTTTTAATTAAAATATCATCAAATAAAACAAAACAAAATGTAAAAAATAATAAAATTTAAAAAAATTATTTATATAATAGGTATATTTTTTAAAATAGATTTTAAATAATATAAAAACATTTTTGAATTTGAAAGTATTATTTTTAAATTTATTATATCTGTATACAAAAAATATAGTTATATCATAAACCACTCTCACACACTCTCACACACTCTCACACATTATTATTTTAATTGTTTTTTATTCCAAAATAATATTATATTTTTATTAAATAATTTATTCAATTATATTTTTTTTTCAAATTAATTGTTTTTAGTTATTTTATATTATCAATATTGCAAATTATTTATTTGTTTTATTTTTTATCATTGTTGTTGATATGTTTTTATCCTAATACATTTTCAACGGGAAGCCGGTCACACTTTTCATAATGATGAAATCATTAATCTTGTCCTTTTGTAACTTTTTAATCGAGAGAAATAATACGTTTCAAAGTGTCTTTTTTTTTCTAACAACATCTGTGATGAAACATCAATATTGAAGAGCCAAACTTGCACTTTCATTTAGTTTCCTCGTTGTATAGATTATTGTAGTTGAACCAAAAATCCGTTGTAAGAAAATCATTTTTTTCCTTTAGTAAATATTTTGTTCAAGAGGTAAATATACCTTCAAATTTGTTTTGTTAACTGTACATTTCTTTTTTTTGATTGATTATTCAACCTCCACAATGAAAAATGATTTTTTTCGAAGTTTCTAAATATTTGTTTCATGTTACATAGATTGCTTTTTCGATGCTTAATATTCACGTAGCATCTCGCAGAAATTATAGTACATTTTCTACATTTTCTATATCATAAATCGACTCAATCCAATGGCATTCAAATTTTCATTTCCGAACAAAAAGTGCGTTTATCATTCAACGACTCAAGACGAAATTAGTAACAGTTACTTCAAGTAATGCTTCTCAATTGAGCGATTTCAATCGTTTTCATTTAACAGGAAAGTCCAATCCGTTTTAAATACAATTTTCAAGTTGTTTATGTATTGTATTTCATTAACGCCAAGATACTCGTGTTTGTCTTATTTGATTCAATTAGTTGACATTCAACTTGAATTCATTCATCTCCGTTTTTTACCCGCGAAACGTGTAAAATAAATTCCCTTTTTTAACACAACTTGAGTTATGTTACTTGTTGTATTCAATTTAATTTTGTTTTTTTTAATTCTTGCTTATATATTCAATTTTTTACGACAATAACTTAAACTTATAATCATTTATTTTATTCCTTTAAAATTATATTTTTCCTAAATTTTTTTATTTATCATAAATATTTATGATAATATTTTAATCTTTGATTAAAATAACATGATTCGTGTTATTCATTTCAAATGTATCACTCATACTTTGATTTTATGATACTTATTTATTTAAATTATTTCCTAAAAATTTACGAATTAAGGAAAATAAAAACCCTTTTTCCTTTTAATAAATATTAACGGATTTAATTTATATGTTACGGAAACAACAATATACAAAACGTTTTAAATGTTTGTATATAAATGAAAATGTCGATTTAAGTTGTTATATTTTTTTAAAATACAATTAAAAACAATATTTTATCAATTCAACTTATTTTATTTTTTATTTTAATCTATTTATTGAACTTTAAGTTTTGTTTCCTATATTTTAATAACAATCAACAAATTGTTATTTTTGAACGATAAGGTAACACTCAAAAATAATAAAATTTTGTTTAATTGATCTTTAATTAAAAAGATGACAATTATTTCAATATCCACTCAAATATTTGATTAATAATAAAATGTATTATCTTACAATAATTGTTTGAAACGATGTAAAAATAACTGTATTATATTATAAATATATTTAAATATTATATTATCAAAAAATATATTATTAAAATTATTTTCAATCTTGTAATAGTTAATATCATTTATAATATAATACTTACATATTTAACAAAACAATAATTATATATTATTAACAAATGTTACAATTTATTATTGTAAACTGTTTTTCAAAAGTCGGTACCGAAAGGACCCGACTTTTTGAAGTAAATGATTCCAAATATTTTTCATTTTGTTTGACATCGTTTTTTTGCTTATTTTTTTCCCTCTTATTTTTTAAAAAACAAACTTGACTGAACCTTGAATTTAGACCAAGCTAAAAAATTAAATAAAAAATAACAAGGAAAATATCAAATAACTTACTTCTTCAAAAATTTTGCTTGACCATATGGTTGTTTTTGCCGTGAGTAAAACCGACTTTTTCTCTTTTCAAAAGAAAATGTTAATGATCCAACAAATAATAAAAATCTTTCAATTTCATTAACACTTACAACACAAAGAAAAGATTATTGAAAATAAAAATAACCATTTAATATGTGTAGTGTTTCAAAGTTTGTTTTTTTTAAAGAGACAACCATAAAATAACAACAAGTTAGAACGATTTATTGTGTATTTTGAAGTGGGGGAGAGTCGTAATGTGAGAGGTAAAATACGGTTATCTCACCCATTCAAACTACTCGTCCATTACCAAAAGGCAAAAATGCCGATTTTTTGAGAATCTCAACAGTGAAAAAGACTGAATAACAGTCTCAGAAAATCGGACAAGTTTGTTCTAATTTTTTGTTAAAATCCCGAAATTTTAATTGAAATTTATAACTGTATTGGTTTTGAGGGTTAAAAAGTCGGTACTGTTTTTTCTTTTTTTCAAATGGAAATTATAAATGAAAACAACAAAAAAACTTTAAAAAACGGGAATTTATTATAAAAGGGTTTCCACTAATAATTGGTAAAGTACCGACTTTTGGCATACAGTTTACA